TATCAATGGTATGCCTATATACTACCTTGTCATGAGACTCATGATCCTTTGAAGAGCTGTTAAGAGTAGAAGGCTTTGACTGATCTTCAGGTTTAGAATTGGTAACTGAGCACCGAAGAAACATGCTAAGAATTTCGTTTAAAAAATGAACTTCACCATTACATATAGGAAACTTTAGCAAAGTCTTAGTGGAGGGAAGAACATACTCATGATGTGAAGGTTGGAGAGAAGGATCAACAGCAAACAATTTAAGAATTTTATGCTTTTAAGATTTTTATTTATTTTTTATGACATTGTGTTAGAATATGTGTAATTGTATTAAAATGTACAAATCTATTATTCTATAAGAATGTGTATGAATCTATCTTTACATTTAGATGTCTATGAATATATATATATATATATATATATATATATATATATATATATATATATATATATATATATATATTCATGTCGTTTTTAAACTAATGGTTCAAAAGTGTTGTTTATCTTCAAAATATTCATTCATTCAAAAGATGTATTTTGTCAAATAGATAATTTGACATTCTCATAGAATATCATTCTAACAAAGTTATCTTAGAATTAAAATTTATTAATTTAAAAAAATCAAAATTCAAAATTAAGAAAATCAAATATCTCTTAAAATTTGAAATTTTTAATAATTAAACTTGTGTTTCCTAATTAGTAATTTTTTGGTAAATTAAGAAAGTGATTATATATAACGAGGATCGAACTACGAACCTTAGGAAGAAGAGTTCAATGCCTTTTCCATTGAGCTACAACATTTCTATGTTTATTAACCCTTTCAATTAATATAGTTAGATATAATAGCTAAAATTTGTATTACATATAACTATTTTTTTTCATATATTTTTATACATTATTACATATAAATATAAATAGGTAATTTTCTTATATATTTGTATTATTAATGTATTAAATGCAATTTTTTCGAATTATTCATATATTAAATAAATATTATTATGTATAAATGTATTTCTATATGTAAAAACTCACACAAAATACACATTGTTCTTATATATTGTATAAATTCACACCAAATACATTTTATGTGTACAATTACATCTTTAAACACATTTCAAATGTTTAAATATATTTTTAAAGGTATTTATATATTTGAAAACGTATTTATATATGTAAACTTATATTTATATATTTAAAATTATATTCATATATTCAAATAATATTCATACATTTAATAGAATATGTATATCTTTAAAATTATATGTTTAGAAGTATAAATATGTTTGTTTTTTAGAAGTTTAAAAGATTTAAATAGGTGAAAATGTATGTATATAGGTAAAAATATATTTTAAAATGTATTTAAAGCTTTAAACATATTTTAGCATTTAAAAACATAATAATAGTAGTAATAATAATAACACTAATAATAGTAATAATAATAATACCATGTAAAGTCTTCAGAAATAAAGATTATATATACGAAATTAGGATTTTAATCACAATTTTTTTTTCAGTCTAGTGGTAAATATCTTGGTTTGAGTTATGAAGTTGTAGAGTTCGAATCTCCCTTGCATCGTTTATTCTCTACACATAATCCTTTTTAATTTATGAAACTAATTTATACGTTGATGATATATGGTCCATTAGCATGGCCTAGACCACTCTAGAGCGCCAGCCTAGCCTGGCGCGCTCCTACCAACCTTGTCTGGCATCCCCTTGCCAGCCTTGCCTAGTGCTCTCTTGCCGACCCGCTCGCCAGTCCTGCCCGGCGTCTCCGGGCGGCCTCATCCAACTCCTTGCTAGTTTGGCCTAAATTCGGTTGGCTTAAGGCCTGACCTAATTCCCCCTGACCTAATTATCCACTATAAATAGAATAGTGCCTCCTCCATGAAGGAGGACTTTTCCCTAGGACTTTTCCTGGGATCTTTTCCCTAGAACCTTTCCCTAGACTTCCCCCATGGCTCAACCGCCACACTATACTCCGGCCGGGTGGCTCAGCCGCCACCCGCCGCCATCAGCCACCATACACCACCACCAGCACCAAGATGGTTCTCTCTAACTATGGATGACCATCTCAGATCTTTCAGCTGATCTAACTTGACCGTCGGAGTCTGCTTCCGGGGCAAAGTCCCTGGGGCGGCTCTAACGACTTTGCTCTATGATGTCCAGATCTCCGACGCAACAGAAGACTAGAAGACTCGCCGGAGGTCGATGTCGCATCATACCTCAATTAGATATCAAATATTATATACTAGGTGTAAGACTCATTTATTACATGGGTTCATTTAGAAGAAAAATAAATATGAAAATTCTAAACATTTGAAAAAGTTTAAATTTATAAAAAAATTAGAAAAATACTGAATTATTAAAATTAAAATAATTTTTATATTTTCAATTTAAATAAATAATTTAGATAAATAAACAAAGGAAACTAATAAAGTTTTAATTTAAAAATATTGAAATTAGGAGGAAAGTCAATTATTGAAATTGATATGCATTTATTATTATATCTATTGCAATTATTACATATAATATTTAAATATTATGTGGAATTTAATGAAATGAAAAAAACCACAAAATGTCATGTGGAAAATATTTAATTGAAAATAACCACAAAATGACATGTAGCCAAATCAATGTGAGTGTGACATGTGGCAAAAAGTTTTTGTAACATCCATAAAATTCGAACCAATTTAAAAAAAATTTAATTCATATAAAACCATTCAATTATTACAATTTGTTTTCAAAATAGTTTAACATCAGATTTCCCTGAAATCATAATTATCAATCGAGGAAAGTGTACGGTCACGCCTTCGCCTTCCCGCGGTCATCCGCCAAACCTGAAACAATAATCGATAAATGTAACCTCGAAGGCTTGGTGAGTTACCCCCAAAATACCAACCTCATATAACCGTAATTATATCATATCTACAACTACAGAACAACCATGCATCTCGAGTCTGCAATGTGGCTGGTCCGCCCGCACCGGGCCTTCAGTCCACCTGGTCCACTCCCTGAGTCTACAGTATGAATGGACCGCCTACATCGGGCCTTCAGTCTGTATGGTCCACTTTCCGAGCCTCGGCACGTCTGGACCGCCCTCTCAGGCCTTCAGCTTATCCGGACCGCTCGCTGGGCCCTCGGCCTGACCATGTACCCTTCTGGGTCTGCAGTCTATCCAGTTCGTCCTGGGTATGTTGGCGTACAACACAAAGCAGGACCCGTCTCAACCCAACCCCAAACAAACAACCATGTGCACATATAACAGATAATCACAAAACAACCATAGACAACCAACCGATCTAACTAGCCCTATCGAAAATACCCGATACCCGAATTACCCGCACGATTTTTTCAGGTATCGGGTAAATTATTCCGGGTAATCGGGTTACCCGATTTTTTTCGGGTCGGGTAAAGGGTACATTTTTTGGGTTTCGGGTATACCCGAATTACCCAAATTATTTTAAAAATTCATTTTTTTTGTAGAGCTTGTACTATATAACAGTTATTTGATCACGCTTAAACTAACTATGATTATTATAAAACATAAATATATTTATTATATCAATAAGACACTAACAATATTAAAAGTAATTTTTATATATCATCACGTTTTTTAAAACTTAACTATTTTCTAGGTTATAGTTTTTATTGCAACTAACAAACTCATTATCTTGACGAAACTTCAAAACATGAAAAAACTTATGGCTACATTTATCTTAATCATTTTAAACTTTTAAATTAAGATCTTTAGGTATTTATTTTTTTAACATCTTATTAGATTAGATTAAGTTGTTAAAAAATTACTTGATATCTTATGTATTATTGACTAAAAAATCTTAATGTTCAAAGCTTGAGTAATTTCGTTTATGTCTCGTTTGTTTATATAAACAAGACTATTAAAGCACGATGTATTTATTTCATTAAATTTATTTTCAGGTGAAATTCAAAAAAAAAAAATTATATATTTCGGGTAATACCCGAATTAGCCAAACCCGACCCGATACCCGAATTATCCGAATTTAGTTTGGGTAGGGTAACGGGTAATTTTTCTAACATGAAAAACCCGAATTACCCGACCTGAATTACCCGAAACCCGAAAAAATTACCCGTTCAACACCCCTAGATCTAACAGATCATATAACATAGCAACCCCTAACCAAGATACTGACCTTATCGGTCACCAGCAATATTCCATCCTAATTACCATGATGCAGATCTAACAAATAAATAAACATATCAAACAAAACCAGTAAACAATCTAGGAAAGGGTCGGCCTTGGTGCCTTAGACCCTGTTGATATAGTGAGGATAACTCACCTCGAAATGCCGACCTGAACCGAAGAAGCAGATTCCCGAACCACTGCTTCACCGTAAATCCCAAACTTCTGGAGCTTTAAGGACACAAAACAACTTCAGATGTACAAGCCAATCTTCTTCTCCAACTTCTTGGTGCAATGCCTTCACCTCCAAGAGCTCAAAATACCCACCAACTCACACTCTCACACAAGAACTAGGGTTTGGGACGTTTCAGGAAGATGGAGGCTGAGAATGATGAGAGAAAATGAACCATAAGGACGTTTATATAGCCCCAAACCCGAGATATTAGGGTTTCCTTCATTTATGATTACGCCCGGCGTACACATTGTACGCCCAACATACTGGGGCGTGCCCTAGTACGCCCTACGTACCCTTATGTACGCGTGACGTACTCCCCCTGGTCCCAAAATTACAAATTAGCCCTGAGGCTCTTCATGTCTTTACCCTTTCATCCCCAGGGACTTCAAATGACAAAACTTGGGATGTTAAGATTTTCATTTATTAGAGTAGATAAGAAACACATTCACAATCACTTGTGCGCTTTGTCAAGAAACAGAGGTCGTGAGTTTGACCTCTGTCTCACTTTTTTCATTTCATATACATTTATTTTTCATAAAAACAAAACTTACTGACATGGCAGCCACATAAGCCCCACGCCAGCCACAAATGCATAAGAAACACATTCACAAACACATGTGTGCTTTGGTGGTAAGACATCTGCATTAAGAAACAAAGGTCGTGAGTTCGATCCTGGTCTCGCTGTCTTCGTTTCATATGCTTTTATTTTGTAAGAAAACAAAACTTGCTGATGTGGCAGCCACATAAGCTCCACAACATTTCTTAATGCGGATGTCTTACTGCCAAGGCATTCCTCGAAAATATTTGAAAAGATAAACAAATAAAAAAAGGAAAAACCTCATGAAAATCCTTACATTTTAACGTCATAATCAATTAACTCATTATATATATATATATATATATATATATATATATATATATATATATATATATTGCATTTTCACCCGGATAAACAAATAATTTTTGGATTTTTACATCTATAACCGGCAACGAACCGATTACTAGTGCTTTTTCATAAATGTAATCAAAATTTAAGTTAATACAATACAAAATATGCCATTAATTAATCCAATACAAAATAACAGATAATAATTAGTCCAAACCCCTAAACTTTGATCATATTTAAAAAAAGTATTCATAATATGTTGGTGATTAGTTTATCGGGGTAAAACCTAAAATTATCGGTTTACTAGGGTAAAAAATAAACATTACTGGTTTTTTTAGACTTAATTGTAAGTAATTGATAGCGTTTTAGGCTTAATTGAAAGAATATAGAAATTTAATTAAGACCAAAATATAAATATTTTTCTAAAGTTTATTTAATAAAAAAAAGTTAAAATTCACTCTCACTTTTTCAAACTCCTTTTTAGCCTTTTGGAAACTTTTTGAAAGTAAAAGGACAAAATTCCCCTCTCTTTTAACCTGTAATCAACATACTAACATTGCTTTTTTCTCCATCGACCATCGTGCTTCGTACCCATTGAATTGGGCTTGTTCTTCTCCAATCGGCGGTGCTTCTACAAATCTGTTTTTCAACGTCGACTCCCTCTTATTCGTCAATTTGCTTCCACAATCGATTTCCTGATTTCGAACTGCGACAATTGATTTTTTCGTGGTAAAAAATCAAAATCAGAACAGAAATGAAGAGCATGCCTGTTCATCGTCTTGTTTTGTATCCCATCACGCCTCCCTAAATCTTCCCACGCTGATCAATAGCAAATCCGACATCCAGAATTTTACATCAAACTCACTAGTAAGTAATTTCAAACTATTGTTTCTAGTACGTGTTGCTGAAGCAATTTATTTCTACTACTTGTTGCTGAACCAATCTAATTTTCTTTTTGTACTTTTCGCTTAAAGAATTATTGCAAGAAAGGCTCACAAGCTGTTTGATAAAATGTAAAATGTTTTCTGCTGGTGCTATCTCCCTTTTTAGGGTTGTTTATTTGTGTTACAATAATTTCTTTTTTCTTTCGGTGTCCGATTATGTATTTGATATTCTTCTAAAAAAAAACTCTTAACATTTTCAAATTTGCTTAAATGTTGTAGTTGTCTAGCTATTGGTGTGTAATCCATTCATCATAATATAATGAACAATTTTATAATGCATGAGTTGCGATTCTAACAACTTAGTGTTTGGAAATCATGTGATTAGGGGTGGGAATTATTTGGTTCGGAACCGAAAAACCTAAAGACCAAATCGAACCAAAATCGATTTCAGACCGAACCGTATTCAAATTCGGATTTCGGTTTGGAATCAAACCGATTTGTGAATTTGGTTTTTGGTTTGCGTTTCGGTCTATGAAGTTAAAACCAAAACTAACCGAAAAAACCGAATTTCATACATTAATTAATTAAAAAATATACTTTATATTTTATATTAAATAAAAGTATTAATTATAAAGTAAAAATCATTTTAACTTATTTACTCTTTTGGATCATTTTGTATGAAACTTTAGATATTTCTGTTTGCAACTTTAGGTTTTTATGTTAGAAACATTTTAATTTATGTTGAAAATTTTTTAAGTTTATATTTGGTTTCGTCGGTTTTCAAACCGAACCAAACCAAAGTTTTATTAGTTGACTTTTCCTCATGTGGTCCTTTTTGAGCAACCAATTCCTATTTGTTGGATGCAAGGATTTATATTTCTCTTTGATGTTGCGATAGATATATATATATGGCTATTGTCTAATACTGAGAATGAATATTATGCAAATCTCTTTTCCTTTTTCCTTTTTAAATTCTACTTTTCAGCCGTGTGGAGGTCAGACTTCGAGGTAATGGTGGAAGTTCAACCCCAAATTTTGGATAGAATCAGCACTCTTCCTCAAGACACAATTGAAAAAATTCTGACTCTTATTCCAATCGAAGATGCATTGAGGACGAGCATTTTGTCAAAGAAATGGAGGCATTGCTGGAAGGGCATGCATAAACTTGTGTTTGATGACAAGTACATGAATATGTCATCAAATAGCAAACAAATCAAGAAATATAAGTTTGTCAATGCCATCTTCCATGTTTTGTTGCTACACAACGGTCCAATATCAGAATTTGGTATCTCTATTAATACTAATAAAAAAATTTATGATGAGATTGACCAAATAATAGTTCATCTTTCAAAGAGCAAAAAGATCAATAAATTCATCTTTAAGAGTTGGTCAAATGACGTCATAGAGTTATACTATTTTAAGCGCTACAAGCTACCCTCTGTGTTCTTTTCATTTCAAGGACTAGAACACCTACATCTCACATATTGTGTCATTGAGCTTCCATTAACATCTGATGGATTTATTATGTTGACGAGTCTCAGATTATGCAGTGTCAACATCACTAAGAACACGCTTCTACAATTACTTACCAATTGCCCACTACTTTTAAAATTTATCCTGGTAAGTTCCATACAACCACTTATGAAAGTGCCTTCGGTTAAAACCTTCTTACAAAGGTATATTGATGCAGATGGGATGTCAAAACGATTCTACTACACAAGGAGACAAGTGTACATTTCTTGAGCTATCGGAGCGTTTACCTTTGGTTCAGGTTCTGAAAATCTCTAAGCATTATATGGAGGTAATACTTAACTTGATGGTTTTAGAGTAAATTACATGAATGCTCCTTGTGGTTTGGGGTAGTTTGCGCTTTTGGTCCCTAATTTTTTTAACTCGGAAGGTCCCTGTGGTTTGGTTTAGTTGCACCTTTTGTCCTGTCACTCTTAAAAATACTATTTTCCCTCTCTTCCTGGTATTTTGTTTATCTGTGGTCATCTGGTATTTTGTTTATCTTGGGTATTTATTGGTTGATGCAGCAACCTGATGCTGCAGTTGGTATGGAGAAACTTCCCAATTCACTAGTTCACTTGAGGATACTTGTTCTTGATGTGTGTTTTCTGGAACAAAATGGGCTTTCTTATGCTCTCAGTGTGGTCAGCAGCTCCCCAAATTTGGAGAAGATAAAAATCGAGGTAGATATGAATTTCACGCAATCACACACATACATATATATATATATATATATATATATATATATATATATATATATATATATATATATATAGTAACAACAAATATTAAATTCTGTTGACATTTTGTACATGTCTTCTGATCAGTTGGGTTTGAATGGTCAGCCTTGGGTTGGACAAACTTGCAAGGACTTGCTTGATCTTCAAGACTACTCAGGCCGCCATTTGGATCATCTTAAAGAACTGGAGATGACAAGTTTCCATTACTGTCCCCCAGAGATGGCGTTTGTGAAATTCATCATGGCTAAGTCACCTGTGCTTCAGAAAGCACGAATAGAGCTCTATACAACTGTTTCTGTTGACGAAGAAAATAAGATGCTTAGAGATTTGCTACGATTAACATTTCCACGTGCATCACCAGCTGTGGATATCATTATCGAACGCTAAATTTAATTTTCTTAGTTAAATAAAAGGATTGTTTAAATGTATTTTTGGGTTGATTACAAGTATTATGACAACTGTTACTTTCTACCCCCTGTATTTTCGACTAATAAAACACTAGTGAAAGCTATAGGATGTAAGTGTTATATAATTTGAATACAATACTAAAAACAAAATATGAACACAATCGCAAAGGAAATGTTATAAGATGTAAACGTTATGCATTATCATGTGTAACAAGCTACTTTCTGTAATCATACCTAAATATGCGTTCTTTGTTGTAAACCCACATCCATCTGACTCCAAGCAGAAATGGTTCACGAAGTCACTTTAATACTCCTTGTCCTAGCGATTATTGAATGATCTAAGGGCATTCACAATCCATTGAACTCTAAGGGGTTCAATAGATTGCCACATCACTGCCACATCAGCATTTTACTTATTATTCAACTATACTCTTTAACATTCAAACTCCATTAAACCCCACAAAGTTTAATGGATTTCTATATTTGGTTTGAAATTTAATTGAAAAACAAAATAGTAAATCCATTGAACCACTCAATGATCATGCAACTCTGTCTTTCAACTCTCATCAATGTGACTCACACTCCATTAAACTTCTATTGAATCATAGTCATCATCTATTCAACTCTTATTAAACCCGCATTGTGAATGCTCTAAGTTTTAAGGGTTTTTCATTTCTTTAAACTTGAAAACATAAAAAAATGTCCTTTTTTTTCAACTTCCGAATAATAATCTTCTTCATTTTAAAAGGTATCTGAAACATTTCAATCACCATTGCTTATCCTGTGGTCTGGCTAATTTCTTGAACTTCCTCCCACATAAGATCCAAAGAACCTGGAGGTAAATTTATTTGCAATTTCTTTTGTAGTTCTTATGTATCAAACACCCAATAACTCGACATGTACTACCATTGATTATAATTTCTATTAAACTTATATTACTTATGTTAGTTTAATTATAAACTTGGAAATTTACGGAAAAGGAACCTATTTAAAGTTTTCATTCACTATGTTTGCTTTATGTGAAGGTGCACGAACAAGATTTTGATCTTCAATAATCAATATACTATAAGTGTTACTTGAAAATTCAAACAACTAAATTCATGAGTGGAATTTCATCTTTTATATTTAATTAATGGAAACAGAAAACTATAAACACCACTCTCGCTCTTGATTCTTTGTTTTTCCCATTGTGCATATACAAAAACATTTATAAATATATATCATCTTATTAATGGAATAGAAAACTATAAGCACCACTCTCACTCTAGCTCTTGATTCTTTGCTTTGCCCATTGTCAATGGCTATGTGTATATCTTCAATCAAACCAAGGTTTTATCTATATGTTGGGTAATATATTAGTTATTTCTATTTGACAAGGAAAGAGAGGAATAAGATAATTCCAAAATCCAAACAGACCTTTAAAATTTAACATTTTTAATACCAAAAAAGAACAAATTGCCAATTTTTCCAACCAATATGGAAGCAATCAGTGCTTTGAACTCATACATCTTTACTCATCAAATAAAAGGTTTCAAAATCCAATGAAAAACGGTGTTCAAAATCAAAATCTTGTAAGTTAGTAACTAGCTCCGGCTCAAGTACAAGGTGACAACCATCGATATGGCAATGGTTGCTAATGGAACTAGGGTTGCGCATGGGTCAGTTTGGGTAGTTTCGACCTAAAACCGAACCCAAACTGAAAATGATCGGTTTCTGAAAATTTGAACCCAAACCGAAACCCAAACCAATGGGTTCGGTTTATCGGTTTTAGGTTTTAAACTTCGGTTTCCGATTTGGTTCCGGTTTTATAATTCAAACCAAATCTCAAACTTATTTCTTAATGCCACCTCAACTCATCAACTATATAATGGTGAGGATAAGTGATATTTAGATATCCCAAATAATGTGGGACTCCATCAATGTTAGGGAGGAAGGAGTGATTCCCTCCCGACCCATTGAACCTACTGTCACATCAGTTTTTGTCTTTTTTTTTTTCTTCATCTTTCCCAACCTACAACACACAAAAATCTTATGTTTCTCAACCCACTCAATTAAAAAAACACAAAACAACTAAGGTTTAAGTTTTAAAACACATGGTACAAGAGAGAGATGATGAAGTGGGTTAGTGAAACCAATTAAACAACCCGCTGAAGAGGGAGTGGTACCGACAGTAACCCTATTGCTAATTAAGATTTTAATTTGATTGTTTTTTTAATTGAACGAGTTGAGTGTGTTGAAAAAGATAGAGTTTCCATATGTTGTTTGTTGAGAAAAATAAAGAAAAAAACTCATGTGTTGGGAGGGAACGACTCCCTCCTCCTCCCTTAGAGATAATAGAAAGAAAAAGGATGGCGAGCTTATGTAGAATAGAATATTGGCTAAGTTTCAGTAATGGGGCAATGTGGGATGTAGTTAACTGGTTGCCAAAATAAATAAAGAATAACGACACTAGCAAGTTTCGAACTTGCACCATTTCATACAATTGCCAAACACATTAACCACTAGAGTAACCCAAGGAGTATCTATATACACACATATATAACTCACAAAATACATATAATATATGAAATTCAGTTTGGTTCGGTTTCTTTCGGTTTTACCAAACCCAAAAACCGAACCCAGATCGAAAATTTCGATTTTTGAAAATTCTAAACCCAAACCGTCGGTTTACGCTTCGGTTTCGGTTTTTCGATTTTCAGGTTCGGTTTTGCTCACCCCTAAATGGAACAACCCATTATTGTTTTGGGGCCCTCCCTTCACTACTCCCAGGGTCCTTAGAGACCTTCGCAACATAATATCTCTTCGTCATCTCCCTAGCGACTTCACTATGCCCAAAATCTTCAAAACAAAATGTGGAGTCTGTGCCTTTACAATCAATTAGTTTCTTAGTTTAAGGTTTGTACAGATAATGTTAATGCTTAAATGATTCGGTCCATTCCTCCACATGAAAATGTTAATTCTATTTCATGATGGACTGAAAAACAAAAACACCCTATAAGTTAACAAAATGGAAGGACTCATGTTTCCTACAGGCAAAACAGAACATATATTCTTATGGAATGAACCATTCCTTTTATGATTTTACTCATATAAAAACACTACCTTACTCAAATATCTTAGGAATCATACATTTAACAATGCCCATTCCATTATACCATACACTACTTTAAGTAAGTTTGGATAATTTCATCAGATAGAGTAAGTACAAGAAATTACCACTTTGACACAAGATACAATGTTATTAATGGAAATGAGAAATGTTATAATAAAGTCTAAATCAGTTTTGGATATGAGATGTAACATGCTATAACTAGAATTCAATTCTCTTCTTTAAATGCATACACCAAGATTCGCATTCGTTAATTATAAACTGAAAATAAAACAATTAAATGAGCACATATACGGTGGTGGATCTAGAAAAAGCGATTAGGTTATGTAGTGTTAAAATATTAAAAGAAAAGGGATCTTAAAAATAATTTAAACGGTATAAATGTTGATAATAAAATTAAAAATAGTAAAAAGTAATTAGATTATGTCAAAGTGAGAAACAAATGAACCTTTACGTATATCTGTACCCGTTTATTTTCGAGTGATTCATTAAAAAATAAAAGGCTATACATGAATGATTAAAACAAGCTTTTGAAATAAAAATGGCATCCCATCGTACACAAATCGAACTATTTTCATGACATGATCCAATCTAAGCAATGTATATAAGAAAAATGAGAAATTAAATTGCATCATATTTTTTATGCTTGTAAATATTCCTACCCAGTAACATTATGACACGTATTATTATTCCAACATTCAATTTAAATATGATTTTATATATTCCTAATAATGACATAGTTAAAAAAATATATGTAATTGTGACACTTGTAATAATATTATTGAGTATGAATATTGGTAGGTATAAAATGTAGCAACCAATTTAATTTCTCTTAAAATTTGTAAGGATATGAATGAAATTTTCGGAAAAAAATAGTAGTCAAACCCGAATTCAACTCGATAGACGTAAAGATTCTTCCGTTTTAGAATTTAGGTTGAGCGACGCCAATACAGGCGGACGGCAACAGTGAGACAAGGCTTTGACGATGGTGGGAGTGGGAAGGGGCGGGCCCAGCTTCAGGCGCTGCCACGGTGGGCGAGTGAGAAGTCGTAGTCTACTCCTCTTTTACTGATTTTCTTCTGCATGCACCTCCCCTTTTTTCCTAGTTTGCTGTAGTCTATCTCTCTTGTTACGGTGGTTTATTTGTGTTATAATAATTTCTTTTTCATTTCGGGGTCGGATTATGTATTTTATATTCTTTTAAAAATAACTCAACATTTTCAAATTTGCTTAGGGTTATAGTTGCCTAAAGTAAGCCATGCATCATACCATATGATAAGCAATTGTATAATGCATGAGTTGCGATTCTAACAACTTACTTAGTGTTTGGAAATCATTAATGTATTTCAGATATAAAAACATCCAAAATTCATATAGTTTAACGGAAGAGTTGAATGAACTAAAATTGCTGGTTGACATTTACTTGATTAAACTCAAGTGGGATCAAGTTGACATTTAATGGATATGGAGTTGAAGGATTATTGAACTCTTCAATTGGACAAAAGGGGATTTTTTTTATGTTTAAAGTAAATGTTCCATTGAAGTCTTGAAGAGTTTGATGATTGTGGAAAAAAAATGGTAGAGTTGTATGAATAGTATGATAATGATATGGAAATACATTAAACTTTATAGAGTTCAATGTATTATGAAAGCCACATATGGGGAATTAGCGTTGTAGTATTCACATAGAGCAGCAGACTTAGGATATCTAGTACTATTGAGCATGACCATATTTAATTTTAAGTGGTATATTTGTTCTCTAGTTTTATTAGTTGACTTTTCCTCTCGTGGTCCTTTTTTTGAGCAACCAATTCCTATTTGTTTGATGCAATGATTTATATTTCTTTTTGATGTTGCGATAGTGTATGGCTAGCTATTGGCTAATATTGGGAATAAATGTTATGCAACTCTATATTTTTTTCCTTCCTAAATTCTACTTTTCAATCGTGTGGAGGTCAGACTTCAAGGAAATGGTGGAAGTGCAACCCCAAAGTTTGGATAGAATCAACACTCTTCCTCAAGACACAATTGAAAAAATTCCGACTCTTTTGCCCATCCAAGATGCACTGAGGACGAGCGTTTTGTCAAAGAAATGGAGGCATTGCTGGAAGGGAATGCCTAAACTTGTATTTGATGACAAGTACTTGAATTGCTCATCAAGTAGCAAAGAAATTAACAAATATAAGTTTGTCACTACCATCTTCCATGTTTTTTTGCTACACAATGGTCCAATATTAGAATTCAGTATCTCTATTAATATTGATACAGAAATTGATGAGTGATTGACCAAATAATACTCCATCTTTCAAAGAGCAAAAATATCAAGAAATTCATCTGTAAGAGTTGGTCAAATGACATCATGGAGTTATTCTCTTTTAAGCGCTACAAGCTACCCTCTGTTTTCTTTTCATTGCAAGGACTAGAACACCTACATCTCACACATTGTGTCATTGAGCTTCCATTAACATTTGATGGATTCATTACCTTGAGGAGTCTCGAGTTATGCAATGTCAACATCACTGCGAAGACGCTTCAACAATTACTTACCAATTGCCCATTACTTGAGAAATTAAATTTATACTGGTAATTAAGTCCCATATAACCATTTATGAAAGCGCCTTCGGTTAAAGACTTCTTACAAAGTATATCGATGCAGATGGGATATCAAGACAACTCTATTGCACTAGGAAACAAGTGTACATTTCTTGAGCTATGCAAGTGTTTACCTTTGGTTCAGGTTCTGAAAATCTCAAAGCCTTATATGAAGGTAATACTTAACTTGATGGTTTTATCTTGTGGAAGAATATTGTGTCTGTCTTAATTCTAGTTTTGGTATTCGGCTAAAGCAGTTCGCTAAAGGAAGTATGCAGAAACTCCCTACTTTACTAGTCCACTTTAGGATACTTTTTCTTGATGTGTGTTTTCTGGAACAAGATGAGCTTTCGGATGCTCTCAGTGTGATCAGAAGCTCCCCAAATTTGGAGAAGATAAAAATAGAGGTAGATATAAACTACATGCAATCACATACATAGTAACAACAGATATTCAATTCTATTGACATTTTGTACATGTTTTCTGATCAGCCGTGTTTGAAGCATGAGTTGTGCTATCGAGAAACTTGCAAGGACTTGCTTGATCTTCAAGACTATTCAGGCATCAACTTGGATCATCTTGAAGAACTCGAGATAACAAGTGTCCATAACTCTGCTCCAGAGATGGAGTTTCTGAAACTCATCATGGCGATGTCGCCTCTGCTTAAGAAAACACGAATAAAGCTTATTTCAGATGTTTCTATGGATGAAGAAAATAAGATGCTTCGAGATTTGTTGTGATTAACATTTCCACGTGCATCGCCAGCAGTTGATATCATTATTGAGCGCTAAATTCAGTTTACTTTTTAATTTAAGGATTGTTTAAATGTGTTTTTGGGTTGATTACAAGTATTGTGACAACTGTTACTTTTTACCCTCTGTATTCTTAACTAATTTTTCTGCCCTGTTTTGATCCCGAGTAATAAATAAGATGTAAATGTTATGCATTTACATATGTATAAGAAGCTACTTTTTGTAATGATACGTAAATATGCATTGTATGTTATAAACCCACATCCATCCGTCTCCAATCAAATATGGATCACGAATTCACTCTAATAAACCTTGTCCTATTTTTTGTCGCTGCATAAACCATAATCCATATTCAAGGGGATTAGGCACCATTGATGGTTGAATGCTCTAAAGGATCATCAACAACCAAATCATATTGATTATAGGTCAACAACCCTTCACCATTATCTTTTCACCATTGATGGTGATGGGTTATACTTAGTGGTGGATGAAAAGGGAAAATTTTGTGAAGATAGTTTTCAATATGCTTTTAATGCTCTTGTTCATGCTAATGATGGTGACAAGAAGAAAGATAATGGGAAATGGCAGAAAGGGTTAGTTAATGATAGAGTTGGTGAAGATAGTGATATATTTAAGATGGTGAAGGTGATTATTCAACACCGATATGATCCAGTAATAATCTTTAATTTTAGCAAAAGAGAATGTGAATTTCTTGCAATGCGGGTAGGTTTCTTTTTGCACCTGTGGTTATTTATTGATCAAATCATAATTTTTAATCTTAATTATCGTGTAGATGACGAAAATGGACTTGAATGAGGATGATGAGAAAGTGAACATGGAAACCATTTTTGAGTTCTTTGGACATGCTATTAGATGATGATAAGAAGATACATCAGGAAAGATCATCCTACCTCTCTGTTCATATATATTTTAGTGTTTTATTATTATTATTTTTATTCTCTCGTAATTTTGGTTTAGCCGGGTATCAAATATGCTTCCCCTCCTCAAATGGTGAATATATACAGATGAATATCCATGGTCATATTTAAATTGATGATCGTGGTGTCTGCATTCTCATGATTGACAAAAAATTAGAACCTTCAACTATTAAAATGAAGGCCAAAGGATAAGAATCTTGAATTGCAGAAATGATTTTTTGATGTGAATATGTGAGATTTGATTCATATTTGTGATGAGTATTTTTGTACTTTGACACTGAGGAAATATTCCATTCTGTAGCCAAGAATGCTTGAGTTTAGATATCTACACTTATATTTTTATTTTATGTTCTTTTAAGCCTTTTATAAAAAAAGACTGGCAAAAGATAACGTAAACCTATTAGAATCGAAGTTAAAAACTACTTATTGAATTACAAAAAAGTAATTAAGATACAATAGTGATACAATGCAATATAATTAACATACATTAATCAATAAATAAAGAAATAGTACATGATATGTACTAGGTTTATGAATTTACATACAATAGTATTTATTTTTGTTTAACATTTTTTTGTTATAAAACCAACTATGAATGAATCTATTTGGCTAAATATGATTACAAAATGATATTTGGATAAATATAATATTTTGAGAGTTTATAAACGGCATAGATGATATTTAAAAGTTAGCTTCATAAAAGGATATAATAGTAATTTGATAAAATATAAGTACTTAAAATGATTAAAAACATTTTTTGGGCAAATATGATATTTTGTTATTTGTTTAGAGTATATATATATATATATATATATATATATATATATATATATATATATATATATATATATATATATATTAAATTTCCCCATTTAAAAAAAATATATTTGAAAAGATTAACCTCTCTCTCCCTCTCTCTCTCTCTCTCTCTCTCTCTCTCTATATATATATATATATATATATATATATATATATAGGTTAATCTTTTCAAATATATGAAATTTCCCCATTTAATATATATATATATATATATATATATATATATATATATATATATATATATATATATTTGAAAAGATAAATCAATAAAAAAAAGGTAAAACTCCATAAAACACCTTACAATTTAAAATCATAATCATTAAATCTTTATATTTTTTTTTTCTTACAATTAAACCTAAAAAACTGACAGTCGTTTACAATTAACTCCCCAAAAAAGGTAATTGTTTATAAATTTGGTTTTTTTTACCGGATCCTACGTAAGATCGTTTTTGGGTTTGCAAGATCGAGATCGAGATTCTAAGATCCCACAAAATAAAACATGATTTGATTTTAATTTGGGTTTTTTTTTACCGGATCCTACGTAAGATCGTTTTTGGGTTTGCAAGATCGGGATCGAGATTCTAAGATCCCACAAAATAAAACATGATTTTAATTTATAATTTTAAAACATAAAAAATATTTCACACATTTAATTTTTTATTCAAAAGTTATAAAACTTTAAAATATTAGTGATAAGTCACAACACAAATGATAAACGTTAAATTGATAAAAAAAAAAAAGTAAAAGACATAAAATGGTAAAAAGTTCATTTAGAAAAAAAAAAAAACAAATGAAGGAAGGACCGGATCGGATCGGATCCCGATCCTACGATCTTCCGCTCTTACCTGCGATCATATCTCAAATACGATCCGTTAACGATCTGGCTCTTTTTTCATACTTATGATCGTAGGATCGTATGATCGTACGATCCTACGATCAGGATCGCAATTTTGACAACCAGGGAGATGAACCATTAATTTGTTGGGTTTTCATCCCGATAACACAAGCTACGAACTGAATACTAGTGCTTTTTCATAAATGTGATTAAAATTTAAGTTAATAGTGTTTTTTCATAAATGTAATCAAAATTTAATTTAGTACAATACAAAATATACACTTAATTAATCTAATACAAAATATTAGATAATAGTTAGTCCAAACTAAATTTTTTATTATATTTATGAAAAAAAATACACATAATATGTTGGTGACGAGAAAAATTGTCCAAAATTACAAGTTTCCTAGGGTAAAAAACCAACGTTGGTTATATAAAAGGAAAATGTAAATATATATTTTTCTAAAAACTATTTAATAAAAAAAATTCATTATACTTCTTGAAAAATAAACAATGTTTCGATAATCAAAGGTGTCACTTTTCAAAGGGAAAATAACGTAATGCCGTATCATGTATTTCGATTTTACCCTTTCAGTCCCTAAAGTTTTTTTCATGTCTTTTAAGGGAATGAAGTTATTTCTGTCGGATCTAATTGGTCCTTATTGTCAAAATGAAAGGGTAACCCGGTTATCCTTTATATCAGCTCACTTAATTGATCTATTCATTTATTTGTTTAGTATAAAAGAAATGACACATCTTTTTACCTCACAATGTCACACTCTCTTTCTCTCACACACACACTCACACACATAGCTCCTATTCATCATCTTCTTTAGGCTGCATAACCTTTTTTGATCCAAATCATCTTCTTCAGGGCGTATCATTAATTTCCTTAAACTTATTTAAGAGCCCAGATGAGATTTGACCTAAGATTCTAAGCTTAGAATTTTTTTTCACATATTTAATGAAAATTGGATCGAGATAAAAGCAAACGATACTTGGATTAGAGCATACCTTAAGACTTTCCACCACACCAAGAACAACCTCATGTTCGAGCCCTGCGTATTCCCCTTCTATCTTCTCTCTAATCACCACAATATCAACATTTTCAAGGCACGTGGGTAAGCCTAGCAAATCAAAACAATTTAGAAGCGAAACGTACATATCACATTCAACGAACTAACTGTTGGATTAATGTCTAAGTCCATAACTATAATTGGTAAGACTTGACCCGACCCGACATGGTCCATTTGAGTTGCATGACATCATGCACTTGGATAGACTATAATGAGAGAAATAAGACACTTACGGTTATTAATATATTATAAGTTCTAGTATATTAATAATAAGAATAATGAGATTATTTAATTAGTATTGATCAAGAATTAATCTAGGATTAATTAAGTGATCAAAAGAAGACTAATTAAATATATGGGTTGATTGTGTAAATCATCCATACTTGTATAGTGGGCTAATGCTCCATGGATTATCTAGTTGGGCCAAAACCCATATGATGCTCCATGGATGCTCCATGGTGTATTTGAACCCATGGATCCAAGGAAATGGAAAGTCATGACAATTAGGGTTTACCCTAATTGTATAACTATATAAGCATCTTATTCTTGAGGAAAATCGGCCACTAGTGAGAGTAAGAAAGGGCTAGCCGATTTTCATGAAGTGTAGAATTCTCTCAAGTTATTCCAAGTGTATTTGGTGTTGTGTGAACCATTTGAGGTGTCACACTTGGGGCACTAGGCACTCAAGCTTCATGAAGACATTCTACATCAAAGAGGTATGTATTCTATCTTGTTATATTGATAGTTTTGTATGCTAGATTAGGATAATACCTTGGATGTTCATATTTGCATGTATAATAGAGAAAACATAGATCCAAGGTATTTAGGGTTGCATGTACACTTAGGAGTGTTAGAATGCTCATAACCCAACAGTGGTATCAGAGCCTAGGCTTGTTTTCTTGTTATACCTGCAATAGAAGCTGAAAAATCGAAATTGGTGTTGTCAGCCCAGCAGACTCGCCGAGTCCATGAAGGGACTCGACGAGTCCAAGGCAAAATGCATCCAACTCGCCGAGTTATGTTCATGCACTCGACGAGTTGGACCCCAGACAACATATTTTCGAGGTTTTTGGCTAGAAATGGACTAGGAACATTACCTAAGTTGTTTTTGAACTTATAAACTTGTTTTTTAATGTGGTAATGTTCATGCTAATCCATTTTCAAAGATAATTGTCAATAGATTCATGTTTTGTATTAGTTTAAAGGTTAGACTAATTACATGAAAAAGTTTGATTTGAATTATCTTGTTCTTATGAGTTGCTTAGATTAATAGAAAAGTTGAATGAAATAGTTGTTTTCAATCCAAATTAATCTAAGAGTTGATTCTAAAATGTGTTTTTGTAACTTGTCCTCAAGTTATATGAAAAGTCACATTTAAGTTTCATAAAACTCATAAAAGTTGGCAATGGTTACAAAAGATGAAGAGTCTTGTCCTTAAGTTATGGAGGTTCAAGAGTCACTTCATTAATAAATAAATAAATAAAATATGTAACCATAATTAAATCCATAAGTTATAAAATAAAGAAAAGTTAATTCTTTTATTAGTTTAAAGTCTTCCATAACTTGTCCTTAAGTTATGGAACTTGAAGAGTTTTTGGATTAAAACTACTTTAAACACATAAGTTATGGAATTAATTAGTTTTGAATAGTTTCAAAACTTGCCCTCAAGTTTTGGAATTTGTAAAGTTTTCTCTTATGAATACTTTAATTCCAAGTTAGCCCTTAGAATTTTAAAAGTTAAAATTCAACCCTTATACTTTATAATATTATATAATAATATATATATATATATATATATATATATATATATATATATATATATATGTATGTATGTATGTATAAGAGTAAAGTCGGTCTTACCGCTAGTACGCCTCATTCACGAAGCCGGTCTATAAGGTGGGTATAAGGTTGTTGCCTATAAAATGGCAACTTAATGGGTGTCTACTCTCACCCACCGCTTGCTTGACCGGTGGAGGGTCGTTAGCCGAACGGGTTTGACAGGACTATAATTCTCCCTTCATTAAAAGTATTAATGATAAATACTAAGTAACTAAACCTTTTATAAATACCCAATCTTAGTTACTTAGGAAAATGTGAATAAGGTGCTAATCCATGAAATTACACTCTGCACTTTGTTTAAGTCGGTTAGTGGAGCGTGTGTGGTTAACCGGCACACTAACTCGTATTTAACAAGGTAGGCAAAGGGTAA